GTCTGCCATCCTTCTCGCTGGACATGGAGCTCTTAATCTGTCGCTTTCTGTTTATCGGATTTAGCAATTTACGTGTCAAACGGTCATGGGGTCCAGGAGTGTCTTGTGCTGGAACTTTTCCAGATACCAGGTTCTTTGTTCTGTTGTCTCTTAGATAGTTATATATGCTGAAGCCAGTCAGTTACACTGCACCTCTGACCCTCGAGGGGTTTTCAGACAGGGGGAGTTTCTCCTCCCCTGGTGAGTTAGGGTTTAAGCACTGTTTTTATTTGAGTCTCTTGAGACGATAAGCTAGATGGTACAGGAACTGCTGAGACACTTCACTGACCCTGCATGAGTTTTACGACCGCAGATGGCTGCATAGGGTGCTCCCCAGTTTGTCTCAATGGAATGTGATTGTTTCATGTGTAACTCAATAGTGTAAGTGGGTCCGTTCGAAGACAGAGATCTTACACACTTGAGTTTTGGGGACAAGTTCTCACTATTAACTAGCATGCATACTAGCATATTGGCTGTTTATTAGTACTTATATAGCACATATTAATGCATTATTCTGCATGAATCCTATGCCATACCTAAACTTAACATCTACCTTGCTAACTATTAATAAGCAGCAGATTAGGGGGTTGTTGAAATAAAAGTCTTAGTTAATAGTGAGAATTGCACCTTAAAATAAAGTGTGATCTTATAAACACTTAACCAGAAAAATGAAAACTTAACCATGCAAAATCAATTATGTTTCTGTAAAAACTTAATTTGCATTTCCTGATGGAAAATAAATGCTTGCAGTGCAGCAATAAATGAATGAATGAAGTCAAGTCTGTGACAAAATTATCAATAAACGTAGAAGAAATCAATGTTTAGAATGTCAGGAAATGGGACATTTTCAATCTTTAATCAAGAATAAATTTGATTTAAATAAAAAAAGTCTGAAATTAACTACAAAACAAAATTTGAAATTATTCTGTCTACTGAGTGGCTGAAGCTAAATGAATTACTGTTTGCATACCTCTCTGTCGAGCGTGTTGTGCATGACGTGTATCCCACCAGGGAAAATAAAACTCAAGAGGAAGGTCTTGAGAGTCCTGAAAGGTGTTGTCTCAAACGAAGAAGAAGTTTTCTGAGCCTAAGTTATTTTGGGCTAATCGTTTTTGAGAGTTCCTATTCTGTGTGTTCTGACCAATGAGAGACATGGATTTTGAGCGGGAGAATCGTCTTTGTCTCTTGTTTTATGGCTCATTTGCATGCTTTATGGCCGGTCTGGAACATCCGTAGTTTTAACCCAAAATATCGTGCGAGTCATATGATGCGTTTCACAATCACATACTGTACGTCATTGTCCGAGAAATGAAGAACGGGTGACATTGATACCAAGAAACAATAATCTGGAATAGATTAAACCAAAGATACACACATACACCTGAATATAAGTGTTTTATGGCTTTAACTAATACAAATAACGAGTGGTAACTCATCTAATCTAACAAGGGAATGTACACACCACATGCATATACCAGATACAATTATAACTGATTAATTATAGTCTAAAATAAAGAAATGTCTGTATGTGTGTGTGTGTGTTAGTTTGGGTGTGTGCGTGTTCGTTTGGCCATTCACAGCTCTTTGTGGAATGTTTTTGAACTCAGATTCCAGGATTCTCGTGGGGGCTGGTTCTAATCTTTTTGACGGCGAAGAACCATTTGGCAATTTACACCCCTATACGAACGTAAAGTTTCTGACCAGAACTGTAATTTATATGCAAATGTCAAAAGGCTAAAAGGGTCTTTTAAGCCATAAACAGTCCAACACTCCAGCATGATCCTACGCAGACGCTACAGCCCCCCTTTTGGCTGACGAAGTTCACCTGCACACTTTGTCAGACAACAGTTTTCATGATGGTCGGACAGCAGGTGGATCATGATGATCGGGTAGCAGGTGGATCATAATAGCTAGATGGCAGGTGGATCAGGATTGACAGATGGCAGGTGGATCAGGATTGTCAGATGGCAGGTGAATCAGGATTGTCAGATAGCAGGTGGATCCTAATTTTCCTCGGCCTTCGCATCCTCAGTGGGGGTGTTAACCTTGGTCAGGTTCAGCATTGTCTCTGCCTGGGTCCCTCTCTTCCGGTGGCTCTGTTTGAAGGTTCGAGGAAGGGCAGCTGTGCACCTGTTCATGGACCTTTGCACCCCGTTGACTCTGTTAAACAGGACAAAAGCAAGACCGAGTGTTAGGGTGTACCCGATTGCTGTGGCAAGGCAAAGTGCCGTGTCGGCAGAGGTCCAGGATCGAGCGACGGGAAAGGTGTTCTGGACAGGCATCCGGGACAGTGCTTGGAGGGCTGTGTCGATTGGGGTGATGACAATCATCTGGGCCCCCCCTTTCTCAATGCTCAGTTCCAATTCAGGTTCCAGGGTGGGATTGTGGTCCCTGAAGAAGGCTGGTATTTCTACCTCGGATTGGTACTCTTCACTTGGAAGGTGGTACAGCGCCAGGTCACCGAGGTGGAGGATGGCACCTTTGGGCACTTGAATCCACATACTCTGGTTGGGCAGGCTGACACGGGTGGCGGTGTCGTGCTGGTCATAGGTCAGTGTGGCGGTACGGGTGGGCGTGTTGACGAGCCACCGATTTGCCACAATCTCTGCTTGTGTTTTTGTGACTTGTGAGCGAGGCTTGGCCTCAGCGGGGCAGGGTGTCTCTCTTTGCATGGGTTGTAACCCGCAGATTCCTTTAGTGTTGTCTCGTAGGAAGGGCTTGCTGGGGCAGAGATAATGAATGTCTTTGGTCAGGGTACACATGCGCAGGTTTAGGGCCAAGTAAAACTGTGGGTTATTGTTGTGGTAGGCTACCATATCTGGTGTGTGTATTCTGATGTGAGTGTTTCCCTGCCAAAATCCAACATTGACGATGTCTTTGAGTCTGTAAATGTTGTCGGATTCAATGATGGGTAGATTCAGAAGGAACGCCATCTCGCTCTGCTCGGGGTCAACATGTAGCAGGATGGACCCTCCCAGGGAGTAGGCAAGGTGGGCTTGAAGAGGGTCAGCTGGACGGGTAGTTACAGAGGATAACACTGTTTGTACTAGGCTCAGGGGCACCAGATACGGAGGAATTCTACCCATGGCTAAGCTGTCAACGGAGGAGCTCACCTCACGGAGCATGTCAGACATCAGTGTGGTGAC